AGAGAGAGAGAGAGAGAGAGAGAGAGAGAGAGAGAGAGAGAGAGAGAGAGAGAGAGAGAGAGAGAGAGAGAGAGAGAGAGAGAGAGAGAGAGAGAGAGAGAGAGAGAGAGAGAAGAGAGAGAGAGAGAAGAGAGAGAGAGAGAGAGAGAGAGAGAGAGAGAGAGAGAGAGAGAGAGAGAGAGAGAGAGAGAGAGAGAGAGAGAGAGAGAGAGAGAGAGAGAGAGAGAGCGAGAGAGAGAGAGAGAGAGAGAGAGTTTCTCCCTCTATTCCCTCCATTTCCCATCCGTCCACCTCCGCTCATCCATACCGTTGTTGCCTTTATCATCCCTGACAAGATTTGGGAACAACCGCACACACACCGTCAAAAAAAAAAAAAAAAAAAAAAAAAAAAAAAAAAAAAGACACGGGAGAGACAAGGAAAAAAGAATGATCCCTTGATATTTGCATTATTAACAAGTACAAGTTCCGCTTCGTTATCGGCCACAAAGATGCAGCCATTCTTCTCAAGCGATTATTTGAAGTCCCGGTCGTGGCAGGATCGTATCTAAATCCGGCAAACAGCCACAAATGATATGCAAACGCTGCTCTGATCCCGCAAATATTGACAGTTTCTGATCGTTCGAGCGAGTAGCATTCTTATAGGCTCGGATCCCACACAAGAGCGTAAGGGAAGATCTGTAACGATGCGTTTTTTTTTTTTTTTTTTTTTTTGTTTTTTGTTATTTCGTTTTTTCTTTTCTATGACGCATTTAGGGAGAGAAAAAAATCACGTTTCTTGCTTCTTTCTTCTTATATTTCTCTACTATATCACTTTGCTTATTCTTTTTTTCTCTCTCTCTTTCTCTGTTTCCGATGTGAATTATGCGGGTTTGTAACTTCTTTTTTTTTCTTTTGCTCGTTAAGGTTATTCGTTTGAATATGATTTAAAGTGGAAATGTTTGCTCGTGTACAAGAAATGTGTAATTGTTCCTATTATGATGATCTTATTAGATCTTGAGACAATATCGTTAAGTTTGTGTGTTTTTTATTATGTCTAGGCTTCGTTAATAATGCATAGTATTCCCCTCATTATTTGAAAGATAGCTGTCTATTTAACTATTGTTTTTGTTCATTAGTATTGCTCAGTTATCGCAGTTTCTATGTTATGGCTTCTCGGCTCTCTCTCTGTGGATCGTCTGGGTCTCTCTTCACGTCTCAATCGGTGGCTCTCTCTCTCGTCTCTCGGGTGTCTGTCTCTGCTCTCTCTTCTCTGTTCTGCCGCGGCTCATCTCTCTTCTCTCTCCTCTCGTCTCTCTTCTCTCGGGGTCTCTCTCGTCTCGTCGTGGGGTGGGAAGGAGAGTGGGGCAATCGGTTTGTGTCGGTAGGCTGGTCTCTCGTCGTCGTGTCTCAATGGCTCTTGCTTGCTCTGCGAGACTGTTATTCCTTTCTGATTCTCACGGTCCCGTCTCGGGTCTCTCTTTCTATGTGTTGGCTTGTGCCTTCCCTCAATCGTGTCTCTCGGTTTGCTCAGAGGTGATTGGGTATTCCTGTAGACAGGGTTGCGAGAGGGGTTGGATCATCTTTCTAGAATCTCTCTCTTCTCTCTACTCTCTTCGGTCGTCTCTCTCTGTCGATATCTCGTCTCGTAATATCAATGGCTATCGGTCTCTGATTATGGAGTAATATATACTAAGGTGATTTGTGAGAATGGATAGTATGAGTAAGTATTAGTATATTACTAGTTAATGAATATAGTAGTGTGTTGGATGTGTGTGTGGTGTGTGGAAGTGTGCTGTGTGTGTGTGTGTGTGGTGTGTGATGTGTGTGTGTGTGTGTGTGTTGTGTGTAGTGTGTGCGTATGGTGGTGTGTTGTTGGTGGTGCCGGGGTGTCGATTTGTGCGTGTGTGTGAGGTCAAGCTGATATAAGATTATCGATAGATGATCGATCGATAAGGAAGGATAGTACATAAACCAGATGCCAGGCTCTGTTTGCGGTGGCTTCTGTAGAGCAATATTGCAATTGCCAGAAGAGCGGTATTCCAAGTTGCACACAGTGCATCCTCCATGGGAGTTCCCGCCTCCATTCCATATTAGCAACTGGTATTAGATGTGCTAAAATTCAGCGGGGTTTTGAGACAGATAAAGCTTGCCTATTCTGTCAACACTTGTTTCCCCTTTGTTATGCACTTTGGTTTTTTCCCCTTGGGTCTGGGGGCTGGGTCGTCTGTTTCGTCTTTCTTCTACGGTGTCTGTGCCCTTAGTCTCTCTCCTCTCACGGTCTGCTGGTGCTCAACTGTTAATCTCTCTTTTCTCTCTGCGCGGCTCTTTTTGGATCTTCTTTATCTCAGGGTCTCATGGTGCTCTTAATCATTCTCTCTCTCTTCCTCTTTTTCTCACGGTCTTGGTTCGTCAAGTTATTTCTCTCAATCTCAGATGGTCTCGCTGACATATATTCCGCTCAACGGTTCTGGATACCTTATCGTCTCTCGGGGCTCGGTCGCGCCTCTTTCGCTCACGGTTTTCGTGGTCGTTAATCTCTCTACTCTCGCCTCTCTCGTAGCGGTTTTCCTCTTTCTGTGAACGGGTCTTGGTGCTCTGTGATCTCTCTCTATCGTCTCTCTGGTCGCTGTATAGTCTCTCTCAGTCTACGTACTCTCATCATCTTAGAGGTTGGACGTTCTCTCTCTGAGTCGTCTCTCTGCTCTCAGTCTCTGCGCTCTTTTCTCATCTCTCTCTTTCGTCTCGCTGG